TGTCGTGAAAAACACGTCTGCATTATTTTTACCGGCACATCTCTCATTATTAAAGATTTATGATCTATACAAATCTGAAGTTCAAAACCCTGTGAAATTTGGTATTTTATAAGAGGATTTTTTACGAAAAATTTAATTTGAGATTTAATGTTCCCAAGAAGGACACATGCCAGGTATGTGATTCATTTAAAATAAAACTAGAAAATGAAACGGATGATCATAAAAAGCAACTTTTACAAATTGAACTCGACACTCATCAGGATTTGGCCCAAAAAATCACGAGAAACATTAAAGGCAGATTTAAAACGAGCTAAAGATGAGGATAATGTAGAGTGTTTAACATACGATCTTCAAAAAAACTCTACCTTTACCCAAAATTCCAACCAATGTAATATATTATAAGAGGCAAGTTTGCTTGTATAATCTCGGTGTATTTTCAGGCAAACGTAATAAGAGTTATTCCTATGTATGGCTTGAAGGAACTGCTGGAAGAGGAGCTCAGGAGGTTGGTTCCTGTATTGTAAAATATTTAGAAAACATAGAAAGTACTGTTGAACATCTTATATTGTGGTCTGATTCTTGTGGAGGCCAGAACCGTAATATTAAAATAACACTCCTCATGGCCAGTCTTCTTCAAACCAGCCATAATATAAAAACTATAACATTTAAATTCCTGATTTCCGGCCATAGTTTTCTACCAAATGATAAAGATTTTGGGGATATAGAATGTCAACTCAAACGTCAAGAACGAATATATACACCTTTAGACTATATAAATATAATAAATTCATGTCGTAAAAAGTCTCCAATAACAGCTACACAAATGAAAAAGGAATGGTTTTTGAGTACCCACCAGCTCGAGAAGGCCACAATAAACAGAAAAGTTGGCACCAATAAAGAAAAAATAAATTGGTTGGAGACAAAACAAATTATATTAACAAAAGAAAATCCTTACCACATCTTTATGAAACCTAGTTATTTTGGCGATGAAAGTGTATGTTTGGATATTGAGCGACGGAGGACGATTAAATACAGAGAGCTTTTCGGCGCTGCTTATGCAACTCTGGCCAATGGTAAACCCCTGTCAGAGGATAAAATTAACGATATTAAAAGCTATTTACATCTAATTCCTTCAGACGCTAAACCGTTTTATGAAAATTTTACAAGTGCTAATGTAGTCGAAGACGTTGATGGATTTAATGTTCCAGTTCTAGATTTTGAGGTAGATACCCACAATAATTAAAACTTTTTTTAAATTTACATTTACATAAGAAAATCATTGTAATTTTGTTTCTTTGGATCATTAAAATTTTTATAAAAATATGACATTATTTATTTATCTGAAAGATTCCAACCCACATAAGTATGTTTTATCGAAATTTTTTTCGGATTTTTGTTTTTTGTTAAAAACGTCCAACCTAAAATTTTCAAAATAACTTCATTGAAACTTACATTTAAAAGAAATTACAAACGAGGTGCCTACGAGATGAATATCATTATCTTAAAATCATTGCCAGGCGAATAAATTATGCATAGTTTAGCTAGGGCACACTAAAATCTTTTTAAACTCAATTTCCCAACAATCACTTTTTTTGGGTTGGACGTTTTCTGCTTAACTACGTCCATATAAACTATTTAAAAAATGTTAAATTGTGCTAAATGTACTCTCTCTCTCGGTCAGTACAAGCTGTCTTTGTTGATAGTTTGTAGACTCTCGCCGACGAGTAGGTAAGAAAGTTGGAGGGTCATAAATAATGTTGAATAACATTATTAGGGCTTATTTCGACTTTTGACTAGTTTTGACAAACCAGTGTGTTTTGTTGTTTTTAAAATGGGTAGTTCGCGAAGACGTTTATGCTCCGGACGAAAAAGTCGACGACGATTGAGGAAATTTTATATAAATAAGCAGTAAGTACCTATAATTTGATTAAATTTTTATATGAATAGAAATATTTTCTGTTGAGTTGTGACATTTTCGTTCTAAATGCTTATACTGTTTTTATAATAATACTATTGTTTCAATATTTACTTATATAATTATAATTTATTATGTAGAAACAGAGTAGAATTTTGGTCAATCGGTCAGTACATTTTTTTGTATTTCAATCAGAATTATTATTTTCTTTTCTTCTTTACATGAGCTCAGAGTAATACCCAAATAGTTTGCAGTATTTGAATATGGAATTTGATTAATTATATTTATTGGACTATTTATTTTGAACGTTTTTGTTAGTAAAGTTTACATAATATATTTCGTCACTTGCTTGTCCAGTCATATTAGTCCAGAGTAATAAGGATTTTCTCGTAACAATCAATAATCCAGGTAGCTGACAACTATTTTAGTTATTGTAGACATATAAGAACAAAACCTACCTGTTTCCTGTCTAAGTTCGGAGCCGTTTTTTAATGATTTAATGTAATGCAAGAAACGCGATTTTTTCCACTCATTAGAAAGCTAAATACTTGACATAAAATTACAAAATTTTATCTTTTAGAATATTGACAAAGCTTCAAAATGCTGATTTTTGTAAGTTGAAAAGTCAATTTGTTGCTTTACAAACTGCAAAATAAGTGACAATTGATATTCGTTAAAAACTTTGAATACAACAACTTTACTTTAGAGTTCCAGCGAAGGTTGGGTATTGGGATACTTAACAAACCCTCAAAATTTGGAACCGATATATTAATCAGTTTAAAAGTTTTTGTATTTGTTTATCCCAGAGGTCTTTTTTTACAATAAAATAAGACAGAAAATATTAAAGATAGGGTAATGCTGTGGGCGACAAATGAAAGCAAAAGATACTATCAATATGTATTAAAAAATGATAAAAAAATGATTTATCATAATCAAAAATCCTGATGCCAAATTTTTGAAATTATCTAGTTTATAAACATTTAGAACTTTAAAAACATTGCCCTTAGAAGAAATCTTTTTTTACATTCGAAAAGTCTTCACTATGTAGTTGACAATGTAGATTTTGTTGATTGTCTATGTTGTAACCTCCTTCAATATCGTGTATATAATGTATTATATAAATAGATATAATATGATATAATAACAATGTACCTATACTCGTAATATGATATAATCCGTATAAAACGTCTTCCGACGTCCATTTTTCATTGAATTCGGTTGTTCCATTGTTCTTTAAGTACTTTCGAGCGCATTGAGTTTTTTATTCGTTCCATCCGTGTTTTCTACGGTAGTCCTTTCTTCTGGATTCCTGTAGTTGTTCATAGATGTACTTGTTTCGGGAGTCTACTGTCTTTCATTCATTGGACATGTCCGTACCATTTGAGATGCCTTCATTGTATGCCATCCATGACTGTACCTTCTATTCTCATACTTTATTGCATCCATTTCAGCGACATATCTTTCTTCGATGTCTCTGTTAATCGTCTCGTTTCACAACCGTGTAAATAAAAGCATGCTTTTTACCATAGTTTCATGGGTTCTAGTTCTAGAGAGAGCATGTCAGCTGAGCCAAAACGAAAAACAATCCTCCTGATTGCTTCCACTGGAATAAACTTGATTGTTTAACTGGGCCCGGACTACCTTCTTCTAATTCTTTAAACTCCCGTTTTGAAATTAATAATAATCGTTATTTTGTCTAATTACCTATTTAGTTGTCAAGACAGATACATTGTTACCTAAAGAAGTGAAAGTGGTTCAATTTAGAAATTATATCGTAAATAATAAATATTTGAAAACTAATGCATATATTCCTCCCGCTATTTGAGCTACTAATTTTATAAATCGCACCACTAATAGACGTAAATCCCTTCATTTTAATTTCATGAATGATTTTATTCGCCACATCTCAACATTTTCCATTTCAGAATATTTATCATCAAACTGTAATATACGTTAAAAGCCAATTTGTCAGCAAAAAAACAATAACAAAAGAAAATATAAGACATAAAAAAACCAATACACTTATATCTTGTTATTACATTATTTTGTTATAAAATTTTATAAAAGTTTGTGATTTATTTTATGAATTATTTACAGGACGATTATTTGTTACCTGTATGTACACTTGCTAAGTTGTAAATTAATTATTCAATAAATAATATTACTCTGGTTTACTCGTATTATTCTAATTACCCCATAATCGCAATGAATAGAAGACCTCCCGCTCGCTTTATTGTATACACCCAAGACTTCACAATAGGGGATTGTAAGTAGGTAAAAATATAAAATTTAGTACCAGATGACTTTTAGAATATTCTTCGTGAATGGATTTTGTTTTCGTAAAGAAAGATATTTTTGAAATAGATAGCTCACTGAATTTTACCGTTAGGATTATCGAGGATAGGCCTTAAAGTTGTATTTTGACATTGGAATGACAACGGAATTTTTGTTAATTTATGTAATATGCTATGGTAAGTTGCCAGTTTATCATATATATTATATAATATATATATATATTATATATATATATATATATATATATATATATACATCATTCTACCATTGTTGCGTCTGATAACATCCCAATTACATACATTATTGATACCTTCGAATTATTGCGTCCGTATATCGGAAGCAATAATGTCAAGCCATAGTTTTCGTTGTTCCTGTCGTTTTTTAAGTATCATTGGTACGTTGGAAATTGACAAAATGTTTAAACTTCTTCTTTTTAATTTCAGTTTGGCAACATATAATCAGATGACAGAGATATTTTATGATTTAAATTTGTATCAGGACGCAATAGTATTAGCCAACCGTATATTGTTAGTTCATCGATTTTCCGTATTGGCGCTAAGATAATATACTACATCAAATATACGCTTTACAAACTACGCACATTATTGCTTCCTACATGTGGCAACTCTGTTATCTATTTTTAGAAGCAGTTCACGACGCTAAGCGATTCACGATATGGATATAATATTGTGCAATATTTTGTATATGCGGTTGTCTCGTAATAATTGTATGTGGGAGTTTTAAGTGAATGTTTTTGTTTAGTTTTCTTAACAGATAAATACCTATCAATATGAATCGCGGGAAGCGAATATTAAATGAGTGTCTAAATCAAGGTTCTGAAGGTAAGCAATTAATAAGCATTTATAATTTTGAATGGTCAAGTAATTTATGTGATTGATTTTAATGTTTTATTATTTCTGTTAATATAGATAGTAAGCCTGCATCTGGTCAAAAAAAATTGGAATATTCGACAAATGGATATTTAGAAGTTGACGTTAACTTTTTTGAAAATCAAAAAGCAAATTTAAAAATTCAAGATCAATGTAAGTACTTTACAACTATTTTTAATTTATTTATATTTTAGGATTGAATTGGTTTCCAACTATTTTTGCAGGTACTAATTCAGACAGTAACTTTCAGTTTAACAAAAAATTGTCAAATTGGTTTTGCAATCGAGGTTTTATCGCAGAAAATAATGAAAACTGTCCAGCTAGACAAGAATTTTTTGACAACAGTGAAAATCAAAATATTTTACAAATATCAAGTGATTTAGACACCCCGGCTCTTACGACAGAAACGGAAAATACTGAAAATGATTATGTTTTAAAAAAACAGGTAAGTTGCTGCTAAAAAAATTTACTTATTTATTGTTCAGGAATTATTCCGATAGGTAGATTATGGTGTTATCTCATCAAAAAATACATCCGAAAAAGACTTTACGTCATTTCCAGGTACTCTGGAATATCCTTTTCATGGATCATCAAGTGACAATTCCTATGTATCACACCATGTTAGATCAAATTTATTGTTTAAGTCATCCTCTAACTCTAAATAAAAAGGTATCATAGTGATATACATAATCTTCCTGTATTTTGGGTCATGTATTCTAAAGAAGAAAACAATAAATTAGTTGGATTTAATTTACCTTATAGCAATGCTTTTTTGTTGGTGAGATACAGGGTGTCACGGTTTTAATTTGATTATAGTTATTTTTACAGAAACTATAAAATAATATTACAATATTTGCGTAACATGTATTATTGGTCGGTTGTTATTGTTGGAGGATCTAAAGCCGGTAACGCTTTTGCTGTACCATGTGGTTCATGCATATGTTTGTGTTTTTAGTTTTTGTGTATTTAACCCTCCTTCCCACGGGTGGAGTCCATCAGTACAACTATAAATGAAATTGCTTAATTTTTTTAATTTTTTTTGTATTTTCTCCTAGACTCTGTGTATCTTTTAATGACAATGAATAGTACATGTTAGCATAATTTGGTGAAATTGTATGAATCCCTTCAATCACTGCCTGTAACAATATCCTGACAGACCTCACCAGTGGGTGGGCGTTTCTTATTTTGTGCTATGGCTAGGCTAATATTGCAGCTATAAATGCATTTATTATATACTAAGATCCAATAATACGAATGCAGAATTGTTTTTCGATCTTTCGATTGTTTCTGAAGTCTTTAGGAATTGCGTTAGTTCAGAAAAATATGAAAATACGAGCGCTAAATATGCGTATACCGAGTATATCACGGTTACTTGCTGCAAAATTTTCTGGAATTGAGCAAACGACGAGAGATGACCGAGCTACAGGAAAAGAGGGATGGTACAAGTATTGTAAAAAAAGAAAAACTAGATATTTTTGTCAATTGTTCAAAAACTGGTTATGTATGGAACATATAAAAGCTTGTTGTGTCGATTGTCTAGAAACAAAATTAACATTATTTAACCCCCTCTTATTTTCTGTTTCCAATTTTAATTTTTGATATTTGATTTTCACTTATTTTACTATAAGTACATAGAATAATAATATTGTCTTTTTTATATTTTTCTTTTGTATTCGCCGTTCATGAATTTTTTAATAAACTCTTATAAAAACAATAATGGTGTTAGTTATTACGCAGTAAACTACACCATTACAATATTGATACACATATTATATATACATTTAGGTAGTACAACGTTACATTAGTAAGTTTCCTTAAATATATTTAAAAAAACAGTAATTTTTTAATGAGAAAAAGGATGTTTAAAATTTGGTCCTGATAGACCACACCTGTGGATTTGTATCCCAAAAAATCACCCGTAGAAAGGAGGCTTAATTTTGAATTAGGTCTTACTTTCTAATATTTATTTGATAAAAAAGCGCAAGCGCAACTATTTTTATGATATTTTGATTTTAAAGATTTAATTCTAACAAAACACGGTAGTGCAGAAATAATTAAAATCTATTACCTACTAACAATAACATCATAAAAATTTAAATTATGCAACATTGTGTACAACTGAATAAGCTTGACCTCTAAAACATATAGTATCTCTGTGATCTAACAGTTTTTAGAGGTACTGTGTTTCTCGCATTTATATGCTTTTTAGTCCTTCAGATTTTTAAATATGCTTTGAGATTTTTGAGTTTTTTGGACTACTTACTGCTTTATTGCGGTATTTTCAATCTTGAAACATGGCACCTGAATCAGGTTTATTTATGTTATGACTAAAATCAGCTAATATTTGCTAATGTTGGGTCTTTACATTTTAGGATTCCAATGATGACGAGGATACTAATATAAAGAAATATAAGACACGTAATTATCAAGAATTAAATTTTCCAATTAGTACAGGGGCTGAGGATAATCCTCAAGTAAACGCTTCCACTAGTATAGAGATCACTAAAACTAAAACGCCATATAAGAGAAAACCAGATCACTGTTATTTTTGTGAAACGAAGGTGTTAAATTTTAGTCGTCATATCATAAGAATACATCCAATGGAAATTGAGGTAGCAAAAATTATGGCAAAACCAATCAAAAGCAAGGAAAGAAAAGAACTATTCAATGCTCTTAGACGAAAGGGAAATTTCTTGGCAGAAGGTGGTAGCTGTTTTAAACCAGTTAGAGAGGGATATGTACCAGGAAGAGAAAAACGAGTTTGCAACAATTGTTTAGGACACTTTTCATCGAAGCTTTTATATCGACATAAGAAAAAATGTGCAAAAACGAATTTAGGTGTAAAAAGTACAACAATTTTCTCTAATATGAAGGTAGATCGGGGATTAAAAGAGGAAGTATTTCCTCGTATGAGAGCTGATAAAATATCCTTGGAAGCACAAACAGATCCACTTATTTGTGAATTTGGAACTAGGTACTTGAAAACGCATCGTGAAAAACATTTTGTTAATGTCACATCAAGGAAAATGAGGGAGCTTGCCAAAATTCTTCTGGAGATGAGAGTTCTGGAAACATCCATAACCACATTATTATCAGCCTTGAAACCAAATTATTTTGACCTGTTTGTACAAGCCGCAAAACGCATAGCCAAATATGATAAGAAACAAGATATTTATTTATCTCCAACCTTTGCCATGAATATTGCAACTTCTTTGAAACAGTGTTGTGATATTGCAATTACGTTTATTTACACAAAGAATACGCCCAATCACTCATTGTCCACTGCAACAGTTGAGGCAGATTTGAAAACCTTGATTCGCCTTTTTGACAGTAATTGGAGTTTTGAGATATCTTCACATGCCGCCAACAACCTCAACCTTAATAGGTGGAATAAAATAACCATTGTTCCTCTTGCAAGTGACTTACGTTTACTACGAGAACATCTTATTAACTTAGCTATAAAATCTTTAGAAGTTCTTACCAAGCAAATGAATGATGCTAACGGGAGTACTGAAGCAGACGAAACGGACTGTAAAGTTCTCATAAAGGACAGTGCACAGATTCAAGCATATAATAATCTAATGGAGACTGTCTACTGCAGGGTTATATTATTTAACAGAAAACGTTCAGGGGAACTACAAAGAATGTATTTACATACTTACCTTCATGCCACACCAGACATTGAAAAATATCAGGAATTTAATAGCGTTGTTTCTCTACCCGAAAAAATTCTTTTGAAATCTTTAAAAAGAGTTGTTATCCGCGGAAAACGGGGTAAAGGAGTTCCAGTTTTATTCCATTCTGACATACAAGAACATATTAACATAATATTGAAGATTCGAAATTGTTTTGTCCCCAAAAACAATCCGTATCTTTTTGCAACAGCTAATTCTAACACTCATCTAATTGGATATAAAGTTTTAAGTAAACACTCTAAATTATGTGGTGCACAAAATCCGTCATCAATCACATCGACCAGATTGCGAAAACATCTTGCAACTCTATCACAATTATTTAATTTATCAGAAGGAGAAATTGAGCAATTAGCAACCTTTATGGGTCATACACCCGGTGTTCATCGAAGCTCCTATCGCCTCCCGGATGATGTTTATCAAACAGCCAAAATCTCCAAGCTGTTGATGGTTATGGAAAAAGGCGGAGCAGATCAATACAAAGGAAAATCTATAGATGACATAAATATTAATATGGAAGAAAATCTTCTGGAATTTAATTATCATGACAGTGATGAGGATGAAAATGATATGTTGGATGATTTAGTAAATAGCAATGGTTCTGAAATGTCAACCAGTAAAAGCAATGCAGATAACACACTAATTAAAACATTTGTACCCAAATCAAAAAAGAAAAGTACCAGAAAAGTCGTCCCGTGGACTAATGAACAAAAGGAAGTAACATTAAAGTACTTTAAAGATCACATAAAAGTAAAGAAAGCCCCTAAAAGACTAGAGTGTGATGAGTTCAAGGAAAAGTTTAAAAAAGTAATGGACAACAAAGATTGGTTAAAAATCAAAGTTTTTATACAAAATGCATATAAAGACAAGTAAGAAAATAATTAAAATCTGCTTTAGTATTTTTAATATTTTCTTAAATGGCGGAATTAGTTTTAACATATATCATTTAGTTTCTAAGACATCCCATGGGGTGATTTTATGTGTAGTAAAACATTGTAATAAACAATTCATTTTTTTATGACTACCTATTTATTTAAAATCCCTAATTCACCTTCAGGTTCGGTATTTTGAAATAAATGATCCTCATTTAAACTACTTTAGAATATGTTAATGATTATAAAATCTAATTAATAATTACTAAAGAAGTTAATCAATTGTTTCTATTTTTAAAAGTTTTCAGGCTTATTATAAAAAAGTTTAAGTCTATATGTTCATGTTATTTTTGTATTGTTACTGTCCACAACAAGAAGTACATTAGTAAATAAATTTAGTTGTGATATTTTTTGCCTTATAATATAATTTCTAACAAAATTATCTTCCCTATAGTTGATTCGTTTCCGAAATATGGAATTTTACTGGTTCTTGTAAGTTTTTTCCCTCAATTTTTTTTGGTCTAATTTGAAATTAATTCAAAATAATTTATTACGTCAAAGATTCTGTTTACACAATTTTCGGTTTCTCTATAGATGCGTACATAATCACATACATGTTGTTGCGATATTTTTAGAGTTGCGAGATTTAACCATTTCACCAATGCATCCACCTTTATTGACCTCTTTATGATCTAAATATATTTGCTATTTGAATTGATGTTTCTATATAATATTCTCTTTCGAATGCTTCCAATTTCAGACAATAACAATAACTTTCCCAAAAATTTAATTCTCTCATCAAGTTTTCATATCCCAAGAATTTTTTGGTTGGAGTTCTATTGATTAATTTTTTTGTGATCTTCGTAATCTTGTGACTAAACAACACTTTTCTGTCAAAAGCTCCATAAATATAACAAGCTCCAATATAAATCCTAAATACTTATACTCATTTTCCAAATTTCAATATAAACAAATTATTTCCCTTAAATTTGTTAAATCAACTTTGTCCCCTGATACATTAGAAGTTACCACCTTAAAACATATATTTAGAATACATGTAGATGGTTCATTAATATTAAGAGGTACCGTATTTCAAATTTCTAACTTTTTTCAAAGTTTAAAAATGTTTAAGAAAATGTAATTTTCCTAAATCACTCTGTATATTTACTTCTTTTGTATTATCCATTTAAAATAAAAATAAATATAAAACTACAAATAAATAAAATATTAATACTTTCTCAATTAATAATGATCATTTTTAAATGTAGTTATCATAATCATTATTGTCTACCAAGCAGTTCGAAAATTCCAACTCATACAATTTCGCTACGAAGCCCAAATCTCGATAATTCAATATTTGTTTCATTTTATGTATATGTATTTTTAAACGTTAGTGCGTCCTTCAGTTTGGCAACGTTGAATGGACGCAACTGTGTATGGTTGGACGAATATACGGAGTTGGCAAAGTTTCCTGTTATAAAGATGCAATAATGGTTTAAAATAAATGAAAAGTTGAATATTTAAAAAATTAAAATTTAATAAAACGAAGTATAGTCCCGTACTAGAAATTAAATTTTAAACCAATATTCGTCGTAAAATTAACAATTTTCCTTCTATTTCCAGGAGACGCAATAAGATCGCTTTTTATACGAACGCAGTAATGGTAGCGTGATGTATATATATATATATATATATATATATATATATATATATATATATATATATATATAGTATATATATATATTATATACATAATATATATTATATATATATATATTATATATATATATATTCATATATATATTATTAAATTAAAATCGGGTCCCTTGGATCTAGTTCTTTGTTTACAGAATTCCTTTAACATACTACCAGAAACAATATTTTCCTAAAACTACATTAAATATCAGTATTGAACTGGTATGGTACCTCAACTTATTTAACCCACAATTATTATTACATTCCATCTCTTTCCGAAATATACTTATCTTACAAAAAATTTTGATTTCAAACTCAACACGTGGTTTGAGTATCCCCAACTTAACACGTTAATCGTTCAGACTAGCTGTATTAATTAAATACATCTTTACTAATTACAATTTAACACAAATTTACATTTCAAATAGAAATATTAATTTTCACAAACAGCTATTAATTGAAAAATTTTTAAAGTGTTACTTAAAACAATTGTACAAACTCACCATTGTCCATGTCGGTGTGAGGAATATCTGTTCATATGACACCGAAAATTGAAATAAGAATAAATTTACTTTATACCGGTTTAAATAGAGGATCATTCTACCTGTTCGTATAACAATTTCCGGTTCCAACTCTCAGATATTAGAACTACCAACTAATTATTGAAGGCTTTATAATTCAGTCAATTTCTTGAGCCCATAAATTAATTACCATCAATAATTATCCATTTGTTGCTTTGGTTACATATTAGTATATTAGATATTAATATATTAATATATCAGAATTTGAATTAAATATCTCAAATATTTAAAAAAAAAAACACCCTGACAGATAACTCACACCTACAAAAATTTCAAATAAAAATTAAAAACTTTGTAAACTTATTATACATTTGATTATAAAATGTACATGTTCAGTTGCCAAAGAATCACTTTAATTTGTTCAGTAATTTGGACATTAGACTGAGTTAGTTATATTCTAGGATGATCAATTTACTTTTGATATCTTAATTGAAACAATTTATAGACATTCATTAATAACAGCATATTTCATAAAACTAGATAACTTAACTTACAGTATTGAGAAACAGAAGAAGAACTGTCACATGCTAACCTACATCTGTCAAATTTACCACTTAAATCTAATAGTTAAAACATAAAAAACTCATTGTGCCCAAGACTGAGATGTAGTGCATTAAAGTCCTTCCCCCCTTTTAAATTTAATGTTTGTTTCGTCCCTTCTAAGTGTTTTCTGTTTTAGTGTGTTTAAATTGTCCTTAATTGTTTGTATTCTAATATTTTATTTACTTGACTTTTCAATAATTTACTAATTGCCAATAGAATATTATCAAAGTAATTTGATAACTTCAAGTTGAAAAATAATAGCACACCCACACAATTTTTACATCTAACCTTATTCATTGTCATAAAACTGCCACCTCCATAAAACAATTACTCAATAAATAACACACATTTCATAAATATATCTCTCGAATAAGTATAAATAACTTTTAATAACACAATGGTATATTATATCACTTTCATTTAACAAACAATCACACATATATCTCTTCTTCATTGGATCAAATCTATCTCCTCAAGAACTTCCCGTTTACTGTTAAATAACTGCAATAATAGAATTGAGTTCTCCATTCAACAATACATAGTAGTTTCAAGCATGTTCTACCATGCATCAATTAATAGAGTACCGGCATGTAAGTAATGTTTATTTTACTTATTTGCTTATTTATTAATTTATTACAATCTAATAGACTATTTTATAACAATTTGTGGGCCTTACTTTGTCTGATTAAACTTTTAAAACTTTTATACTTTTTATTCAACTTACTCTTTTCAATAAAACCAAGACATGTAATATTGGCATAATTATTGTAATTTACAACATCTACTTTGTTTATCGTTATTAGACAACACCCTAATATGAGTTTTTATTATTTCAGCATTTGTTTAACTTTGTATCGAGACCTGAGGATGCTTTGCATATTGTAGAAAGCGAAACCGGTTGTCTGATAGTTAAATTAAATTGATTGTGAGTAAGTCTTATTTATTATTTCTTTACCTATTTGAAATGGACTCACACAAGCAACACATTCATGATTTTTATTTTTTATCTTTTTATATTAATTAAATTTCCTTAACATTATTACTACCTACTCTATGTTAATACCCACTCTTTAATATTTATTTTGTCCTTGTACTATATTTTTTGTAATACCAGCATTTTTTTCCAATTACGATGTTTCAGCAATCCAATTATTGCTATCATTAATGGATTTTTGTGTAACGATATTATTTTAACATAATATTACTTTAATATATTATATTGTTATGCTAATTTTAGACACAGTTGTAAGCAGTGTTAAACAGGTAAACTTTTTGGTTATAATTATTTTTTATATTTTTGCTGTAACTGAGATAAAAAGGTGTACGTCTTTCTAATTTCAGCGAATAGACATATTTATAGACATCAGTGATATCGATATCAGGGAAAGCATTATAAATTGTGTTCAGTTATTGAGGTTAGGTGTAATATAATCAAAGGAGATAAGCGGGCCGGCAGAGGAGACGACGTTTCGAACCCCTCGCCTTGAAGTTCGACGTTAAATACTGGGCTCCTTCAATGAATGTACAGTATCGGATTCAGCTAAATTTACTTCATTAATAATTTATTTACCATGCGATCACATAATTTTTTATATCTTTTAATTCTGAAAAAATTGTAATTAAATTTGCAATAAATACAATATAAGTCATTGGATTATAAACTACTGATCACTCGAACACAATTACCAAAAATTGTCAATAATGAAAATAGTTTTTTCTATTATGTAAACATATAGTCTGCATGTTTTCTGAGAGTCTTTAAATCATTGTTGATATTGAATTTATTAAATGGTGGTTTCACTGAAGAATGATTTGTCTTTTTTTTGAGTACTCTCTGCTTAAACATTCTGTATAGGAAGCGTATAAATGCAAAACCAGACATTTGACCTATAGGTTGTTTTGAGTCAATCGCAAAAAACCTACCAAAATCATAATTTGACAACAATGGAATCTACGTTCCTGTAGTTGGCTGTATACCATATATTAAAAAAATTATTAAAATCCTTTGTAAAAGGTATATATTTAACATAGCCCGTTTGGGTTTTTAAATATATATCTTTTACAAAGGATTTTATTAATTTTTGTTAAGAACTTCTTGCACCTCACCTTTTCAGTTAAAAACTGTGTAATCTTCTCCCATCTTTAGCACTGTAGAATAATCTTTAACAAAATTAATATATGT